AATGTGGCCAGTACAATAAGAGATGAAGGAACTTAAGAGAACTGACATATGTCTGTGAGGAGACACTGTCGCTCTGGAAGATTATTATTTAGAAGAACTGTTGCTGCCGATAAAATCAGGAGTGGAACTGCTGTTTGAAAACATTCAGAGTGTCTGCAACAGTTTCCTCGGAGGACAGACTTCAGGGGTGATATATGGCACATGTGGGCAGGGCAGAAGGAATCAGCTTGGGGTGTGTTAGAAGTAAACGAACAATGTGACATTAAAATCAGCCCCATTTTACTTTGAGTTTCAGTACCTCCTCTAATTACCTGTTCTGTGTTTGGCAAACTGACCGACCTCTCAGAGTCCCAATTCCCTCAACTATAAAAAGATTATTGGGGCTCCTGGGTGGCTCAATTAGTTAAGCATCTGCCTTCAGCTCAGGTCATGATCCTGGGGTCCTGGGATGGAGCCCTGTGTCGGGCTCCCTGCTCAGCGGGGAGCCTCTCTCTTTACCCCTCCCCCAGCTTGTGCACATGCTTTCTCTCTTTCAAAAAAATAAATAAAATCTTCAAAATAATTTAAAAAATAAAAAGATTATTTTTTAAAGATTTTATTTATTTATTTGTGAGAGAGAGAGCTGGGGGGGTGTGCAATAGGAGCACAGGGAGAGGGACAAGCAGACTCTGTGCTGAGTGTGGAGCCCAATGAGGGGCCCATCCTGGGACCCCAAGATCATGACTTCAGCAGAAATCAAGAGTCTAATGCCCAACCAACTGAACCACCCAGGCGCCCCATAAGAGGATTATTGATCTTCATTCTGAAGGGTTGTTATGAAGATGAAATTTAATGTATGTGCCTACTTAACACATGATAGGTGTTAACTCTTCTCTTCTGTCCCTTCTAGGGCTTCATCCCACCAACATCTATGATGACCGTCAGAAAGGGGAGGCAGGGGCGCCTGGGTGGCTCAGTCGGTTAAGCGTCTGCCTTCGGCTCAGGTCATGATCCCAGGGTCCTGGGATCAAGCCCCGCATCGGGCTCCCTGCTCCGCAGGGATCCTGCTTCTCCCTCTGCCTCTGCCTCTCTCTCTCTCTCTGTCTCTCATGAATAAATAAATAAAACCTTAAAAAAAAAAAAAAGGGGAGGCAAAGTTCACTCACCATTTAACCACACGCAATGTAAAAGATGTTCACAAGCTGGAAAACTGAGTGCATTTCCCTTTATTCACAACTCAAATCTTTACCCGAATGATCTCACCCTCTGCTATCAACTCAAGCTGCTTCCAAATACCACCTCAGCTCCTCCCTCTCTCTCACGTACAAGAATATCAAAGCTGTAATATTTTTCTCTTTATCATTCATACATCATTCTTGTGTCTCCAAGTATTTGCCAACAAAGACATCCTCTTCTTCCTGACCTAAACCTGTTCTTCCAATTCTACTGCTTCAAATAATACCATATGTGCCAATTCAATTCGTAGCATACCTATTAGACAATCTCCCTATTTCTTACTATTTTAACAAAATATGTTTTCCTCCAGATTAGTAAGACCCACCAGGAGGTACTCAATAAAAGGATCAAAAATATGGTGCCTTGTAAACTGTGACTTTGAGAAGCCATAAGACTGGCCAACCTGGCACCTATCAAATGGCATTTGTCTACTATTTATTAAAGGGAATTTTGATGAGTTATGACGTGTGGGGTTTTTTAAAAGATTTTATTTATTTATTTGAGAGAGAGAGTGCAAGCACAAGTTGGTGCAGAGGGAGAAGCAGACTACCCGCTGAGCAGGGAGCCTGACGTGGGGCTCGATCCCAGGACCCTGGGATCATGACCTGAGCCAAAGGCAGACGCTTTACTGATTGAGCCACCCAGGCGCCGCAAGTTATGACACATGTTTACAAACGGCAGAGCACTGAACTCCAGAGAGATACTTTGCAGGAGAGGGGTGTCCAGAGAGAAGTCCCAAGTTTCCAACAGGAGACTCACCTCCCCACCTCCACCTCAAAGGTTTTCGGACCCTTCACATCATATAAACTCCTCTACCACAAGAGGTCATGCTTGCATCTCTTTCACAGTGTTCTATAAATCTTTTTCTGCTTCTCTTCCCCTATATCTATATGGAATTGCTTAGCTACGCTGGCCCATTAACCTTTTTAGATGCAACAAACTAACCCATGGCTTAATTAGACTGTCCAGGCACTTGTTATCTCTGCCTCAGGCCTGAAACATGTCTTTTCCTCCTGGCATCTCTGGGCTCTTCGGAAGTGCAGAATTCTGTCTTTTGGGATCTCAAGGATATTCAGTTAATGATTTCGTCCATGATGCCATGATAGATAGAATACTGTGCTGTCCAGTTAGATCATCTTATAATACAGGGTGGGCACCTCTATGAGGTCACAGTTCAGAGGACCAAGTAAAAAACTTGGGCAAGAGTAAATATTGAACCTACCATTCTATTTGCTAATTTGCAAATTGTGTGTCTTTTATGAAAGGTGAAAATGGGATATGTTTCAACTCCTTCTCCCCATTGAGATAGCTATGGCATTGAAGGGAGTCAGTCTATGTTCTGGAAACAATCACTGAGAATGTTGTTGGAAATCAATGCAGCAAAATTACTGATGTGACACTGGGCATAGAAAGAGTACTAGATTAGGAGCCCCTCAATAGCTATAAGACCCTGGACATGCTTCTGTGACTCAGTTTCCCTCATTTTATAATGTGAAACATGGGATGGAAGAGCTCTAAAGGCACTCCTGTCTCTAAAAATCTCTTATTTAATGATACATGCCAAATAATTGAGTGGTTACAGTATGCAGAAAAATTAAGAAAAGCTGTAAATGAATAATATCACTTTAGTAACTTTCTTATTTTTTTCTTGGCCATTTATATTCTCTTATTGCTTTAGAATTGCTTTTAGGCAGGCCAAGAACTATAAAGGAAAATGAGTATCACAGACTACTCTGGTTTCTGTCTTCCTCTATCCACCTACAAATAGTATTTCACCACACTGAACATGAGAGAGCTATCAAGGGCAGTAATAAAATCCTGGTAAGCCCATTTACTGCCCAAACCCTCTCTCCTGGTTTCCTCCTGTATCCACCTGTTAGAGCCTCTGGTTTGCCCCTTAGAGCTACCTTCCTCTTTTTTTTTTCCCCCAGCTGATTAATATCTTTCAAATCCCTAATGGACTTTTCCCCCCAACTTTTTTATTTCAGTTAGTTGACAAATTTATAAGTGCTTAAACTTTGTTAAATATATGTCTACAAATCTAAAAACCTTTTGTTCATACTTCAGTTCTTCTTTTCTCTGGTTTGACTCAAACATCAGAAAATGCCAATGACAACCAGACTGGAAGTTTATTATCTTGCTAATCAGAAGAAGAGAGTGAGATGTAAAAGCAGTTTCAGGCGAGCATAGTAAAAAATTATTATCTGAAATTTAGAGAGAGGGTCAGGAGAGAGAGAGAGATGGATGGGCGATAATAGAAAAGAGGAATAAAAGATAAGTAAAATCTAACTCAGAGGTCATATCCTTCATAAATCCTAGACCTTCCCAGGCAAAACTAACAACTACTAACTCAGGGCTCCCCAGTGTCTTTTTCTTTTTTTCTATTTTGCTTGTGTAGCACATAGCATGTGGTATACTAGTTGACTATCTTCTACCATCATGAGTGCCTTGAGGTCAAGGATCATATCACCTTTATCTTTGTAAAACCAGTGCATGCTTATATTCAATACATAAATGTTGAATTGAAATGAAAAGTGAACTGACAGGGATGATTGGAGATTCCAAATGCCACAAAATCAGGGCTACCACCATGCCTTATGCTTATTCTCTAGCTTGGCTTGCTTACTCAGAGACTGGGAACCTTTCCTAAAGTTTACATTTCCTGGAACTGCTCACATAAATCAATTTCTACAGCTCTTATCTCAAGGCTGTACAAATCCTCCCCTTACTCAGGATTGTCAGTCAATAAGATTCATTAAGCCTCTGTTGGTTGAGTATCAAATTAAGGGCTTCAAAGAAGATGTAACAGATATGATCCCCTCTTTAGGGAGCTCACAATTTAGGGGGTTTGAAGGTAGAATTCCAAACATCTATGAAATATACCTATCAATACTATGACTGTGAAGAGTGTTTATTAGTTTTTCTCTCATTCTTTTATTCCCCAGGCTACATAAAATCTTATTCTCATTTGCTACTCTCCCAAAATTCCTTGAATTATCAATTCCCCAAAGTCTACCTTGCTACTTTCTTATCCTCTACACTTTCGAACATCTCTGATCTGGTCGTTATTTTAAAAAGAATCTGTGGGACTGAGGAGTTGCCACAGACTTGAATCAGACTCCGAAACGATTTTTCAATGGGTAAAAATGCATCTCTGGCATAACAACCATCCCCACCCAGGGCAGCTCAAAGAGTAATACTATTCTTGTACTACAGTCGAGTAATGCTCATAGGAGTACCACAATTGAGTGTACTCATTTTAGTATTATTTAGAAGTTAGAATCCAGTACTGTTTTGTATTTAATATTTAGCTTTATTTATTGAATAATTACTGAATAGTACTGAGTCTTCAGTAATACTAAATAGATTTGTTTAGGAAACAAAGAGGTTAATACAAAATGTTAAAGCTCTAATTCCCTAAGAATCCTACAAGATTTTTCAAAAAGCACATTTGCAAACTCTTCCTTTGTTCTTTTCCAAAGCCAGAGATAAAGAAGCCTTTGATCACTGAGTTCACCTTCATTCAGTAGTCTATATTCCCATTTAATCTTGTTATCATATTCTTAAGCCAATCCTTTTTTTCTCTCTCTCTCTCTTATTCCCTCCCTCCCTTCCTCCTTCTCCCTCCCTTCCTCCTTCCTTCCTTCCTTTACTATTTTTTTAGCAGGGGGCATGTATGTATCTCTTTAAGACTTCCAACCAGCCCCAGAGGAAGAGGCCATGGGGTTTCAGAGAGTAAGGAAAAATCTGTCCTCCTACCAACACAGTTGTGGGGAGACACTTACACTGAAGTCGTACAACACACCAAAGTTTGCCGCAGATGCCTCTTCAGCTCTGGGAACTGTTTTCCTAGGTAAACTGCCATATGGCAAACCCCAGAGGTACTATACAGAGAAGCAAAGAAAGCAGTTAATAATTGGAAACAAAGTCTGATCCACACATGTGATCACAAATGGTTTTGTTTAAAAGCACTACTTACACATTTTCATGGCGACTCTGTGGGTCTTCACGTGGGGTCCCATTTTCTGGGAATCGACTACTAAATCCAGAGTGAAGAACAAAGGGAGTGCTAAGAACCCTGCATGCTAAGTTCAGTGGACCACCAGCAGTTGGGCCAACCACATTGCCCAGAGGCTTGCTGAGAAGCCCCACTACCCACCACCACCTCCAAACTGGTCTCTTTTAGGGGAGGTCTGGAGAGGAGAAAAGAGGCCTTTGGGGGAACTATAGTGTTCCAAAAAAAAAAAAACCATATTACCCACATCTTCATATGGGGTTACCTCTTAGGGGTGGGGGTGGAGGGAGATTCCCTCCTTCATGTTAAGGAAGAGAAGACTCAAGTGAATCAATCGCTCATACAATTTGAGCATGTCAAATAGGAGGAATGATTGTACCCTGATTGTATTTGTTTTACCACTAATTCAGGTTTGCTGCCCTGATCTTATGCTACCAGATTCAAAGAGGAGTTTTTAGGGGCAGAGCCAGCCAGCGAGGCAACATGAATAGGGCTCTAGCAGGTGCCTGGCGAGACCTGGAAAAAGCACCAGGGCAGGCACATGGCTTGCCAAGCAGATGTTGCTTCTTATGTAACATGAAAACTTTCCTTCCTTGGGGCTGGGGATGGAGGATGAATGGTGGCTGGAAGCCTGGGTGCCAAGCTTGACTGGACAAGGGCTGGAAGTCAGCCCCTACTCCTACCCTCCATACAAGCGGCATGGGATTCATGGAAGCTTCTTGACTTCCTAGGACTGAACAGAGCAGAAGGTGGGTCCTACCCATGTGGTCTCACCCCAAAGTTGGGGGCCACAAAGGACAAAGAAGATTAAGGTCTCACGCTTGCCCAGGGATATGGGAACTTCGGGCAAAAGGGCATCTGCTTCGAAGGAATGCTGAATGAGGCTGGGTGGGAGGAGGCAGAGGAAAATGGAGCCTTGTTGCCAGGAGCGGACCAGCCCTGGCCTCTGATGGCTCTGTAAAGCTAACACATCCTCCCTTGTTCTTTTGCTGGAGCTGGCAACCATTGCCCAGAAAACAGGATGCCCCTCAGCATCTAACACAAACCTGTAAGAAAGCATCCAAAGACAATACGCTTCTTCGTTCTAGGAATACACTCCATCAGGCACAGATTGGCTCCCTCCACTCTCTATCAGGCATTCTGTAATTTCATATAGGTGGAGTAAATCCAGCCACAACCTTTCACTTCCATGGCGGTTGTGTGGTGTGGGGAGACAAGAAAGCACAGCTGATAGAACTCCACAGAGATCCTGAGTCTGACACTAAGGGGCATCATAATAGCCAGTGAAGGAGTTTCGGGGCTCCTTAGAGAGATGAGCAAAAAGAAAGCTGGGGTTAATTTGAAATTGATGACATGCATTCTGTCTCGTCGCCTGAAAGTTTTCACTTGAGAGATGAACTATACAGGACTTCTGATCTGCGTTCACTGCCTCCTAGGAGCCAGATAGCCATAGAACCTCCCAAATTATCTCAGGGACTGTAAAACTAATGGATTAGGTTGCAAAATCTTGGGACGAAGGGTACAATCAAGGTACTAGACCCAGAACAGCATAAAAAAACCTCACTCTGAGATATCGGTTAAGCCCAATAAGCAATGTGTAACTCTGTTTCCACAGTTTTAAATGGGGAAAGAAAACTCTTCTATAGTCTACCTCATAAATTTGTTGTGAGGCTCAGTAAGTAAAAGAAGTGAAAGTGTTTTTGCACTGTTAAAAGCTAAACTTGTCATGAATATAAGGAATTATTAAGATTATTATGCCCGTGGGGAGGCTTGATACAGAAACTGGCTCTGATTCAAAACCATGGGGATAACAAGTCACTCAAAACACTTAGTTTTGGCTGTGGGCAATGCTGTTCTGAACAAATTGGCTTTGAAATAATGGTACCTGAAAAGACCCTTTGTAGCTTGAGTAAAGCCCGACCTGACTTTTGTATAAGTAAGCATCCAAGGGTCAGAGTCCTTTAACTTCTTGTGGATAAAGGCTCCAACCTCAGTCCTGCTTCTTGGCCTTAGTTGATGGACTAACCCTACCACCCCACCAATCAGCTCAGGGCTTTGGCATCTTCAATCTGGAAGCACTATCTGCTTTCCTCTCCTCCCTGACCTTGATCCTAAAAGACCCCACCCCACTGTGTATGTGTACATGTGCGTGGGGGGCGGGGACGTCTGGTTTACCTTACTTTACATCTGGAAAAAAATTGCTCCCTTTGTGTTTCTTCAGATCGAAAAGCTAGATGTCTTGAGTTGCAGTAAGAAGCATTTCTTTCAAAGCAAACTTGTTACAATAAATACAATTCACAAGGTGTCAAAGCCTTCCTTTTGAGCAATTAACATTTGAGCACGGGGACCACCTTGGGAATCTGATAGAAGCCGTGAACCATTCCACAGAAAAATGTATATTTAGACATACACACAACATTTTATATATGATTTCAGGAGGCTTATGTACCCTTTGGAGCAAGGATTAGGATCTTTGGCCCACGGGCACCATTTTGAGGATTAACCTGGTTGCAAGTGCTATGACTCCAAGGGCGGATATTGCCAGTTAATCGTGCTGTTCTTCAGAAGAGAAAAGAAATTTTCTAGGACAGTGATCACATGAGAAAACTGTTTCAGCTTTTGTTTTGTTTTGTTTTTTTGTAAACTGAAAGTCAGATTCTTACCTCTGGCAGCATGATGAGGCTGAATGTCAGGATGAAGAGAACCATGTTTACTCCATACATCCATCTCAAGAAGAGGAAGTACGAGGCCACGGAGGAGCCAAACTGACCTATCAAAAAGGAAGTGAAAATGTTGAAAGACAGGTCAGAACCAAACGAAACAAAAGCTGTGTCTTGGTGCTTTCAAAAATAAATCTGCTCATTGCAACACATCGGTCCTTTCCACATTGACAGTCTTCAGCATTCTGTTTCTATCCAGGAAGAGAAAATGTTATTGGTAACGGAAGTGCTGTCTACTGTGTGGATGCAGTTGTGTAGAATGACTGTGACCCTACGCCTTTAGGGCCCATCCAAGGGAGAGCTGCCTGGGGCTTAGCACCTAGGGTTGCTAGGTGAAAGCCCATTTTATTCCCGGAGCTAATAAGTTAATAACATTAAGTCGAGCGAATACGTGTAAAGTGGTTACCACAGGATCTGCCACTAGTTAGCTACCATTATCATTATAATCACTGCACTTCTGCCTCCTTTCTCTCAGGCAGCAATGCCTTTCTCAAAAGCCTTTCGCACATCCTTCAGGGCCAGCTGGCCTGCAGACCCTCCTGGGCTATTTGTCTGCATCGCTGGCATTTTTTAGGTACAGCGCAGGAGCTGAAGTTCATTCACTCACTCTTCACATACTTCCAGTATTTTCCCTCAGGAATTACCTTAGATGTGAAACACAATGTCACAGACGGGGTTGCTGCCCAAATACAGTTTACGTTTTGGTGAGGTATGGAAACAACAGAGAGGCAGGGATTTTAAAAATAAATAAATAAAATACATGTATTTATCCCAATGTATGTGCTATATGCTATTATATAGCATATTATATGTATGTACAGTATGTGTCATATTATATATTCTATATGTACAATATATATGTATATTCAAATACATTGTATAATATCTGCGTATTATGTATGGTATATCTTATGTGCATGTAGCATATATATGATATGTAAAATCACATACGATGACATTATTATAACAATTATACATGTACCTAATATGTAATTATACATACAATTATAACAATTATATAACAAATATAAAACAATCATATATACCAGATAGGTCCTAGTGAGAAGAAGGTAAAATACTGAGAAGGTTGCTTTCAATAAGCTCGTTGAGGAAGGTGTATCAGAATGGGTAACCGTCGAGCAGAGGTCTGCAGTTGTTGGAGGAAGAGGCAGCAAACGCTCAGGCTGGGGAAGAGCAGCTCAAGCGGAGGAAAGAGCGAGAACAAATATCTGGAGGCAAGTGAGAGCTTAGGACAATTGAGGAACCAACCGAAAGACTATGTGGTTGGAGCCCAGTGAACAAGGGAAAGCGGTGACAGTTGAGGGATGAAGAGACAAGCCAAACCACACTGTATAGGGCCTCCTAAAGACAGGTAAAAAGTGAGACTTTTATTTTAAATGCGGTGGGAAAGTCGCCAACAGGTGCTAAGCAGCAGGATTGGGTGTGGGGGCGGGATGGGAAGTACACTGTGGCCTTTAAAGTCTCTTCAGCTTTGGGAAACGAATTGGGAGGGGACAGGCAAGAATGTGCCATCAACATGCACGTGCCTCAGTGGAAAGTGATCTGTCCAAATTGTCCTTATTGAGAAAAAAATTAAAAAACAAAACAAAACAGGGGTGCCTGGGTGGCTCAGTCGAGCCCCGCGTCGGGCTCCCTGCTCAGCGGGAGGACTGCTTCTCCCTCTCCCACTCCCCCTGCTTGTGTTCCCTCTCTCTCTGTGTCTCTCTTTCTGTCAAATAAATAAATAAAATCTTTAAAAAACAAAACAAAACATTATCTTAAATCAGAGAATGGAAGAGGAAGAAAGACCAGGAATTTGGAGTCTCAGGTGGCGATTTCATTGATTAACAAAAGCCCAACTTTCTTTGATTATCGCTTAAAGTTCAACCCCAAGGTGCTAGTTTTCTTCCCGATTCCCAGTTCCCCTTTGCAGCTGCCCAAGAAGAAATGATAAACATCCGCGGCCACCCACCGCATCAGGCCCTTTTTCCTGACTCCTTCAGCAAAACACCTCCGGGGACCAATGGCTTTCTTGGCCCTCTGCCTTTGCAGCATCACCGGCAGGGAAACATTATTGCAGAAAGAAGGAGGTTCAGGGGAAGCAAATTCCAGTCTCCGCTTAGTAAGATGAGGCTGACATCACACGAGTCATGCTTTCGTTTCTGAAACTTAGTCTATTCGTTAGGAGCCACCTTGCTTATTCCCACAACACAGTGACAATTTTTATAGAAACTGAAAAAAAAAGTCAGCGTCTAAACGGACATTTAAAAAAAAATCAATTATTTTCAAGTCTGAATATTTGGATTCATTTCACTTTGTAGAGAAAGGCAGAGTTCTACTGGATTTCTAAAAGGGAATGGTTTTGATAAACATGCCCATAGGTGCTGTAACCAGATGCACGGGTCCATCTGCAGAAAGGCTACGCAGATCTGCCCCTCCCGGGACATCTGATCATCCACCTGGCTCCCAGTGATTTCAGATCATTTCATGGCTGTTATCTATGTTCTCTAGTAACAACTGCCCTAGCCTGTCTCAGCCAGGTTCATTTGTCATGTTTTATTGAAGGCACTGCTTGCTAGTCATTACAGTTACTCATTAACTGGAGAAGGAACTTTATCTCTAGGTATCTGGAGCAAGCTTTTCCCTGAAACACACAGGAGATCTTCTGGTATAGAGTCCCAAGCACTGGATGCTGACTCATCCTTTCCTCCTTCCCCATCCCTCCCTCCATCCTGCCCTCCCTCCCTCCATCCCTCCCTCCCTTCCTTCCTTCTTTCCTTTCCCACCTTCCTTCTTACAGTTTTGCTCTTCTCATTAGCACCCACGGCCCATTTTCTCTCAGCCCCCATACACAAACCCTAGCAAATGAATTTCTTAAATTGAGTACAGAGTGTAAATATACCTAAAGGCAAAAAAGAGGAGCACATTATAATGTTTCAGAAAGTCTCCCCTCCCCCATATATAATCTATATTCATTATGGATGAAATATCTTTTAGACTCCAAAGCTTTCAGGCTGCATCTTTTCACAACTATTTTATTGGAAGTAGAGAAGTCACGATTAAGCACCCCCCTCCTTTTTTTCTTTCTTTTTCTTTTCTTTCTTTCTTTCTTTTTTTTTTTTTTTACAGAATCCTAAGTCTAAAGGAAATGAATTTCAGGAAAACAGATTTCATTAAAATTAATGATTGTACAAAAGACCCAGACACAGGTCAAAGAGACCAAGAAATCCAGAAGACATTATTCCTTCTACAGAACTCTTACCAATGGCAGAGGGCAGAGGACAGTAACAAAAGAAAGACTGTAAAGGAAAGAACACAAATCAACTGGTTGGCATCCAAGCTCCAAAGGACCTTTCCCTGTCTCAACACAAATAATAAAAAAATAAAGAAAGAATGAAATAAAATAAAAAAATAAATAAAAAAGGAGAACTCTTCCCTCTTCACATCCATTTATCCTAGTGGTTCTATCTGATCAGAGGTAGGTGGCTAAATCTGGCATTGACTGAAAAGAGAAACCTTCCTAAAGTGTAGCTAAGAGATCGTAATTAAAAGGAACAGTCATTCCGTGTGCTTCGTCTCTTAGATAAAATTGTTTCATTCTTGTAAAGAACAGGAATAAGGAGGAGAAGTAGCAGTAGTAGTAATAATAATAGCTGATATATCTTGCTGGTCAATTATGCATACCGTAAACTTCTCCAGCATCACTCATTTTATTGCTTTTGGAACCCGATAAGATTAAGTGTTATTAGTCCCACTGTGGATGGGGACCAAAAACCTAAACACAGCATTTGACTGAACCAAGACTTGATTAATAATAGCAATAGCTAACATTTAATGAATTTTGTTTCAGACACCTATTTTGATCTTGTGTATTAATTCCTTTAGTCATCATGGAATTCCTGCAAAAAGAGAATTCCTATACGCTCACTTTACAGAGACTTAGGCCCATGGGTTATACAGCTAGTAAATGATGGAACCAGGGCTACATAGGGAGTTATGTAGTAATAGGTAGTAAATGATGGAGCCAGAGTTCTAAACTAGGCAGCCTTGATCGGCAGGCGTGTGACTCCAAATCCAGATCTCTCTTAACCACAGTACTATATTGCTACCCAAGTAGAATCATAATTACACTATTTTTTTAAAAATAACTATAGTATATGGAATAAATAAGCCATGAATGTGTATGTCTGAAAAAACATAGGCATTATCCACCAATCAGCTAAGGCCATTCACATTCATAAATTGGGCTGGTGCCCAGAAATGACCAACTCTTTTTTTCTTTAATCTGACTAATAAATTCTGTTTCCATAATGAATTATTAATACAGTAAAACAGAGTCCTTGGTACCTTTTCAAGTGAGGCCTTGTAAGCTTATGCAATATTCTTGTTGCTGAATTTTCTGGCATTTCTTTTAAATTAAGGTTAAAGTTTCACCTCTCCCTCTGGTTATTTATTATTAAGGCAAAGTAATTTGTAGTCTATCATCATGTATAATTTCCTCTTGAACAGATGGGTGATAAGACAGGCAGACAAATATGAGCATTTCTAAGTGGGAAAAGACCAATTAAATCACCTGCTGTATGAGCACAGTATAAATACCATCTTGTTAGGCTAGGACATGAAGCATAGTTGCTTTTGAACTGGTTTAGGGGAATTAAATGTGGCACATTTGATTTGCATTTTCTGCAGCTCTTAGGCCAGTAGAGAAACATGAGGTTTAAACTCTGTTCTTAGGGTTGTCTCTCTGCAGATCTTTCTGGTCCGAAAAATAGGTCTGTCACACCTATTTCGATGCCATACTTTATTATTAGGAAGAAATAGATTTCAGTTCTGAGAAAGACTTGTAATCTCCAGCTTGAAGGACATTCCATGATTTAATCCATGGTTTTGATAACAATTCTGGAGTCACAATGGATATAGATGATATTTCCTGGGAGTACAAATACACAGCTTTTTCAGCAAAATACGTAATGAAAAGTAGTTAATAAAGTTCATCCTTGTGGGTAATCCTGGGGTTTTTAGCATGGCTTCTTCACAAGGCTGGCATGGCAGTAAAATTCCACAGCATCCCCACATGATGTAGAACTTCACAGCATCCCTTTGCGGCAGGAATGATCAAATCCATTTTTGATGTGAAAAAAAAATTGGGGAGTCCTCAAGTGAGTACCTGGTCCACACTAGCAAAGGGATCCAGGCCTTACTGGAATCAAGATGGGAAACAGCATGAGTTTTAGACTTGATTTAAGTCCACCTCTCGATTCTGCCAATTATTAGAGCTTTATGGAAACTCAGAGAAGTCTGGTAATTTGGGACTTCTTTAAAACCACACTTACAAAAATACTTGTTCAGTATTATCTAGAGATTGAGCAGAGAATGAGGGCAAATGGATTAGAAAGACTTCAGAATGGAGCTTAGCTGCTCCTGTTTTAAACATGCCTCTGACCACAATCTGAACTTTCTTCATGATTTAATTGCTTATATTTTATGACCTGCCTTCCCCACCCACATGCCTATTAACACAATTGGATGTAAAATCAAGCCTCGCCTGTCTTTGTCAGCATTGTATGCCCTGGAAAACAGGCCTAATAATGGCAGGCACTCAGTGAGTATTTGCTCAATTAATCAGTCCAGTCAAGTTTATTTTGAAGATTAAATGAGGTATTACATGTTAGATGATTCTGACTTTCAAAAGGAATACAATTATTTCTGAAACTTCTGTAAGATTAAGTGGTCATTTCTGTAAGAGAAAAGACTTGGTATTATTTTAAAATATGAAATACGTATTTTATAAATAGGGTACATGTTTAATCTGCTTTTTTCTAAGAAGAACTGACATAGAAGGTAAATTATGCAGGCCTCTCTTACTGTAAGTCTGTTTTTCATTTAACTGTTTCAACGATTTATCACTCAAAAGTATAAAGAACTTCATCTGCTTACATATAAATCTCAAACTGATTGTAACTTCTAAATCATAGAATGTTGGGTTGGAAATTGCCTTGTATAGAAACGAGTTAAACCCCAAATGTGGAAACAGAGGGCCCCAGATATTGAAGAATTAGCCATACTATAGAGCTGGTCAGGGGCAAAAGGACCTCAACCTTTAGAAAACTGATTCCATGTCCCATTTCTTTTCCAATTTCCGTTTAGTTAAGTTTCAAAGACCATCACAAATACATGCTCCCCCATCTTTGGTAGGGGACTTTCTATGAGATGGTTGGTCCAACCCAATGACTTTACTAATACACTTTTAGAGAGGCCTCCTACTTTTCAACTACTACAATCGCCCAAAAGCATATGGTGTACTGATGATTATCATTAAGATCATAATGCATTAAGTACCTTAGGAAGCTTAAGCATGTAATTAAATAAATAACTCATTCAAAAATAAACACATGAGAAAATGGGACACAATTTCCCAAATTGGATAATGATCAAGAAAATCTCTAACTGCTCATCCTGCCATTGCTCTGGTCGAATCCACTCTGGGACCTGATGCAAAAGAAAAAGTTTATAAAATTTTCCTTCAAGTAACAAATGAGCAAGCCACATTGAGAAAAACCACAAGCCGTGGACCCAGAGAGACTTCACCTGACATCTCAGCTCCTCCGGTAACCAATTCTGGGACCTTTATTTAACCGCAACTTGAAAATAGGAAGGCTAATGGGCACATTGCAGGCATGTTCGAGATTATATGAAGTGTTTGTAGGGTATCTGAGTGACACCCAAAGAGTGGTGGTTGTGGCGACTGTTGATGGAATAGAAAATAAGGATCAATTCTTCACAGTGAGGCAAAGCACCATGAAAGGTGGAGAAATCAGGACAACCTAATCAAACCTGAAATTGCACATGGAAGAGAAAATAACCCGCATCTGCTGGAATTACCCAACTGACTGTTCCAAATTTCCTGGAGGAAGAGGGGAGGAAGGAAGATAACTAAAAGTATAATTGAGTGGCTCTCGATCTGTCTTTCCCCTAGTAACACACATGCTAGATGGTGGTTATATTGTCACTCATTCATGTGTGAAATTCCTGGCAAAAAAAATAATTCCATGTGTTTCTATCCCACTCAAGATAGGCTATTGCAACACAATTGGGCAGGACATTATTATTGAGACAAGCTAGAACCTGCTAGAACCTAGTGGACCTTCCAAATAAATAATTGCAAATGTACATTTTAACTCTCATTATTATAAATTTCTTGGGCTACATCTCAAGACCAATCAAGATTCAACCCTATCATCTCATAGATGAATAGACTGAGGCCCAGAGGGATTAAATGACTGCCTCAGAGTTGAACAGCACATCGGCTGCAAAGCAAGAACCAAATCCAGAGTTATTTTTACACAAAGTGTATCAAGACCTTAATGTTCCAAATGGCTGTCTGCTCCTCAATGCCTCTCAAGGTACCACATTTGAGCTGTACACTTGAAACTTAAGGATTCCATGGTGTCTGTTCTTTTCTGGTGGGTCTAAATTCCTTTTCCCATTTCCTAGAATGGTAGACGTTTGAAGAACGTCTACTATTTAATTTTATTCGAGGCATATTTATTAAGGTCAAGCAAATTCTAGGTCTCGTGATCCAGGAGTAAACCAAACCAAACCTCTGCTTTCATAGTCTACAGGAAGAAATAAACACAAAATAAAATGAAATGAAATTACGTTTAAAAACTAAATTAAAAATACAGTATTTTAGATTGCAAGTGTTAAGGAGGAAAATAAAGCAATGATGGGTGGTACAGGAATCTGTGGGCGGAAGTGCAATTAATTAGCTGATGTATTTTTAATTCATTGCCACTTGATAATGAGAGACAGAGGACTGAGGATAGGCACTCCTAAAACATGCCCAATCATGTCCGTGAAATATCCATCAACTGTGTTATCTCCCTATGGAGCCTCCATTTTAATTATGCAACGCCACATTTAAGCAGCAGGAAAACCTGCCTCTCGATCTGAAAAGTCAGGGAGGAAAATCAGATCCTAGTCAAAACTCCTAGAAACCAAAATATGGCAAGATTGTGCTCAGAAATGTTTGAAATATTATCCCTTTTTCTTTACATTCCTTATTATTATTACATTCTTTGTATATTTTTAAAAAATTATTTATTAGGGCGCCTGGGTGGCTCAGTTGGTTGGGCGACTGCCTTCGGCTCAGGTCATGATCCTGGAGTCCCTGGATCAAGTCCCGCATCGGGCTCCCTGCTCGGCGGGGAGTCTGCTTCTCCCTCTGACCCTCCCCCCTCTCATGTGCTCTCTCTCATTCTCTCTCTCTCAAATAAATAAATAAAATCTTTAAAAAAAATTATTTATTACATTTACAATATTTTAAAATCTTTACTTGCCTTATTCTAAGCCTAGAGCACTGTTCTAAATAGGCTTTCGATTGAGTATATTCTCCTGACTTCTTTGTAACCTAGGAATACTGTATCAACTGAAGGCACAGTATGATATTCACATAGCAAGTTCCTGGATGATGATTACTTATTCTACTTCAGATCTGAAAATGAGGCTTTAAGATTTCTTCATTCTTTTTAGACATTGTTCATTTTGATTATTGTCTAGCTCTCACAAGAATATATTTTCAATGTCATATTCATTGCCAATATAAAATTGCTGCTTTCCCAGTGATATATATGACTCAGTGTCATTGACACAATATTGACTTACTTGTATAGGAGAGAAAAGGTCAGAATGAGAATATTTTGGTCCAACATAGAAAGGGAGAGTGGGGTCTCCAGTGCTGTGATTGATAAGTGCTTGCAAATTTTCACAGTACAAAGAGAATGTAAAAAATGGTTATTTTTGTTTGTTCATTTTCTTGTTTTTAATCTTTCCAATAGTATAGAAACTGAGAAAGGCATCTGATAAGCTTATGAAACAACCTTCCCATCTAATGAGATCTCATGAGCACTTACTTTCAATTGCCTTGATTTTGTTTTCCCACGGGATGCAGGCAGCTTTGAAGTTTTCAAAATCACGAAGAAATTTTGCCCATTTCTGAAAAGAAAGCCAAATACAACAGTAAAACTCAGCCTTCTGTTTGCCAAGAGGTTTATCCTTCACCCCCACCCCAAAATATCACAAGACAATGAGCTTGGAAAGATCTCTCTGGTGCCACGTAAGGCTTTTTGTAAAAAGAGGAAAAGAGTAGGTTTTACTTGCCTCCCTGTTCCCCAACCACCTCCACACCAATTCAATTAAAAAAAAACTTTTATGGATCTCCTGTTTTATAGCAAATAGGCTGAGACAGATCTGTGTATTCTGACAGACAATAAGGGAGCAGGAACTGAGTTGGCACCTAATATTAGGCGATCGGCAAATTTTATGTGTTTAATTAAATACTCATTGCGTGAAGAAATTGATGAAATATGAATAAAACATAGCTCCTGCCTTGAAGGGCTTCTTACTCTACTAGAGTAAGCTGAACATAAACAAGTAACTTCAATACAGGATGGTAAGTGTTATGACATAGGACAGTTTTTATTCTGGTAAAGTAGAGCATCTAATTAAATGGAAAGGCATGGTATCATAGAAAAGGGAGGAAAAAAAAGAATCACACATTAGTTTTTATAAAAGACCTTCCTTCCATTTTATTCCACACTGTTGGGCCATCTGTGGTCAAGAGGACCACAAGGACCACACGGAAGAATGGGAATGGGGCAAATAACTTTGCGTAAGTGCGCATTATGCTGGGATCATGTGTGAGATGGACAGGCATGCAGGGCCCAAATAAGAGTATGAGACAAGTCTGAAGGTCAAAAGATGACCCAAACTAGAGACAATCCAAATGTCCATCTACAAGAGAATGGATTAATAAATTGTACCTTCATACAATGGAATACAACATATTGATAAAAATGGACTAGAGCTGCCACAACATGAATGTATCTCATGAAGCATCAAAGAAGGCAGAAACAAAAATATAAATACTATAAGATTCTATTCATTTAAATTATAAAAACAGACAAAATTAATCTATGGTATACATCATAAATCTTTCTATCTCTATTTCATACGTAAGATTTGTGATTTTTATTCACAAAACCCCATCTGTATGGAAATGCATTTAGCTTACAAGTGGGGTAACAATTGTAAAGAGGGGACAATAATGCCTACATACCTACTTTGCTTTGAGAATTAAATATGATAACTTCATAGAAGGATCCAGTTCAGTGTTTAGCATATAGTAAATATTAAATAAATGTTCATTTCTTTTCTATATTTTCCAAGAATCTGTCTTTATATTGGTATATCTTTCGCTTTTTTTCTCATGTTCTATTCAATGTATAAGTTGATGTTCCTGAGAGAGAAGAGCTATATGGCCCGAAAGCTTGTAGACATTTTGAGAAAGAAACTTTAACCCAGAACCCCTTCACTACCAGGGAATAAAAATGAGAGGGGCACAGTCTTTGTCATTCAGGGGTGAGAAAAATCACACAAGTAAGTCTTTTGCCATAAATCAGTGTTTCTCAACTTATTTTTCATTTTAACCCCTTTAAGGAGTATTTTGGGGCCTTTTCGTTTGTTTTCTGAATCATGCCCTGCCCCAAATTTTAATACCACAGATATACTATGTATTTACTTTATGTGTGTACGTGCTTCATACATAGAAAATGTAAGATGCTTTCCCTCTCCCATAACAGAACCAATTTTCTCCTCCTTAGAATCAATATGGCTGCCATTGAGAATGCATGGCATCAACCAAATTGAGTTGTGAAAATGCTTACCTTGGCCATCATCATCTTAAATGCAAACCACCGCTTTCCTTTCCCTTTCCCAAGGGCTCCTTCATTTTCACTCACAAATTTTTTTGCTTCCCTGAGGAAATAAAACAAAATAAGGGGTAAGGGAGGTATAGGTTGAGAATCATAGGATAGAGGTAGTGGACATTTCATTTTATTAGGTTTGCAGCCTTATTTCTTCTAGACCCTTAGCACATGAATTTAAGCTCTATTTCAAGCTCAGGACTTGAAATAGATGTTTAAGCTTTTTAATTCTGGCCAGGAAGAATAAGATATTTTAGTCTCATTTATTATTATTAATCAGCTGGATCATCAAAAAGCAAGTAATTTGTTCTAAGTGTCAAAATAGAGAATACTAGTTCTTTTCATTTCTACCACATATAAAATTGAATCCAAAGTTGACTTCAGATTCGGGCAGTCAGAATGTTTATTCTAAAATATCTTCTTTTCGGGCGCCTGGGTGACTCAGTCGTTAAGCGTCTGCCTTCGGCTCAGGTCATGATCCCAGGGTCCTGGGATCGAGTCCCGCATCGGGCTCCCTGCTCCGCGGGAAGCTTGCTTTCCCCCGCTCCCACTCCCCCTGCTTGTGTTCCCTTTCTCGCTATGTCTCTCTCTGTCAAATAAATAAATAAAATCTTAAAAAAATTAAATTAAAATATTTTCTTTTCTTCTTTTTTAAGGATTATTTAAAAAAATAATAAGTCAAAGAGTTTAGGACAAACTGACATAGAACATACTTTATTGACCTGGTATTTAATCTCATAAAACCAATTATGACTTGAAACAGAGGAATCATATTATGTGCGGCAAATGGGGTTGCAGGAAGAAGGGAAAGGAAAGGAATACTTTTAGCTTCACATTCCGAAAGGGTCTCAAATATAAACTTTAACCTTATTCCCAGATAGTTACACATTACAGTTGTCACATTACTGTCTTTGTGTGTGTGTAGAAAAGCATCAACTCAGCAGAATGGTTAATGTTAAATATACTACAATTTCGTAACTTTGGCCAATTTTGCTATTGTTGTGTGTTTGACATGCCAAAAGAATTTTAAAAAGAGAGGTGGCCCAGGCTTGTCTTGACCTTTTAGGGGCCATAGAGGACATCACCCAGAAGAACCCAAACCTGGACTGCCTTTCCACAGCTGCCACATTGTCAGTTGGTTGGCCCCTGGAATGTGTGACTTTACAGAATAAGACCCTTCAACATATGACTATAAATAAGCTTATTAACAAACAAAGTAAATTTTGAAAAAATGAAGTCAAGGATTTTTTTTTTTTTTTTTTGGTAAGTTGTTCCTTAGTGACAGTGCCAAATTCATGATTTTACAATACCCGGTGATCAAAACCCAACATGCACCTGCTGACTTAGCCAGTGACTCCACAGTGGCACCTCCTTACTCACCTGTGGCTGTGTACCCACCCATATTCTGCAATGGAGTAGATTCTCTTCAGGCATCAAACAGACCCCCCAGATGAGTTCCTTGATGGCAGGGACAGTATCCTGTCCCTTTGTATCCCCCACAGCACTGACCACTACTTTGAGCAGAGGAGGTGCTTAATAAACTTAAACCTTCTGGAAGTGGAGCTAAGAGGCAGAACTTGAGATACATAGAGACAGGGGAGCATCCAATAATTGTATTTTCCACATTAATTGATGCTCCAAGGCAAAGTCCTTCCTAAACTTTGGAATTGCACCCTTTTACATGAGTCTTCTCAGAAACTTAATAGGGCAGGGGCCTTGGGTGGCTCAGTCGGTTGTGTCGGCCTTCGGCTTAGGTCATGATCCCGGAGTCCTAGGATTGAGCCCAGCATCCAGCTCCCGGCTCAGAGGCAGATCTGCTTCTCCCTCTGACCCTCCCCTCTCTTGTGCTCCCTGTCTCACTCTCTCTCTAAAATAAATAAATAAAATCTTTAAAGAGAAGAAAAGAAAAGGAAGAGAACAAAAGAAAAGAAGAAAAGAGAAGAGAACAGAACAGAACAGGAGAGAACAGAAGAGAAGAGAAGAGAAAACTTCCTAGAGCAGACCCCTGGAAAATGGGAAGGGTTACTAGACTGGCCTTGTCGTCAAATGCCCTGACATTTGACATGACCTCTGAGTTATGAAGATTAATTTGAAAATGGTTTCTAAAACATTCTACATATTCTAAAATGTTTAATGAAGCCCTATCAAAAAGTATAAGCTGAGGTCTCATGGCTGGGTTTCTCCATCCATGCAATCAAGAAAACATATCCCATTCAAGCATTAACAATATGTTCTAGAGATGATATGGCAGGAGTGAGCATGGCACCTCACAGACATTTATAAAATGTTGAACTAAACTAAACTCGACTCTAACTTGAGTTCTAACCCAGCCTCTGTGATTTGTCTCTGTGACTTTGCCCGTGCTTTTGACCCTCTCTGTACACATGTTCAGGAAGGTCCTGTTTCTCAGAGGAAGGCACGCATGCCCAGGACTCACACACACGTGAGCATGATCTGCACTTCCCCTCAGTTACTTTGTGGCCTTTAACAGGTCAAGATTCCTCAACAAACAAACTAGAGGGTGAGCAATGGCTTCCCTGCTTGCCCAGTGGTAGCAAGAAGGTGCCATCATCAAGAAGGTGAAAGTGTTGGAGGGATTATTACACAGTGGATTCTCCTGTAACAGTTGTTTCAGAACTGAAAACCTGTTCTAACATGATTGATGCATTACAGAACAATTTAAGCGTAACGCAAATTTTGTGTAAAATGTTGCCGCCATTTTATATCCATCTTTGTCAAGGTGTCATTGATGATATTTCTGAGTATTATTCCCCTAGCCCCAGTTTTCCTATAAGCCCTGTGGTTTTCATTGCCCTATTTTGCACAGTGTGGTGGGTTTTAGGAACCCATACATGGTGTCATAGTGGAACTGGCCATAATTCAATTATTTGGCATCAAGAATGTTGAAATTCCTACAACCAAGTATACATAGGAATCATCACATCACTCTATTCTAATAAACACATAGAAATAGAGATTCAAACATTCTTCCTCGCAGTAAAATCAAAATCTGTTTTTCAAATGTAAATTGCCTACGTTATGGGCATATTTGCTACTCTAGATACTTAGCAGGTAATTTAAAAGACGCTCAGTTTGGTTTTTTAGAGTTACATCGCTTGCTTGATGAGTGGCCAATTAGAAAACATGACTGCTCTAAGCAGCCATAAGTGTAAAGAAATAGCTATTCTACTTCATACTTCTGACAAGATTTTTAATTTTGTGAACTGATGATTATGTTATAAGATCATTAAACTAGCAAGATTTAAGAGAGAGAGAGGGAAGTCGGGGTTATAACCAAATTAAAATCACCACAAAATTAATCATAAATCCATCTAATAATACAGGAATCTCTTTATATGGCACTCATAAGGTTTTTGTCAGTTATTATAAATATAATTTCCCTTGGAAAAATCTAAACAAGGTTTTATCATTTGTTTCTTCAACTGACAAATTTTTCCCAATGCTAGGCATAGTTTCATATTTCTCTCCCAAGTACTACCCCACCCCACCCTCAACATACAGATTCTGACATTGATTTTCAGATAAAAACCTGGACTTCACTCCACTGCACGTAGTCTCAGGTAGAAATTTCTTCTCTTCCCTAATGCCCCACCTCCTCCATTCTCCAAAATACCTCCCCCAAGTTTCATACCAGAAGGATCGCTGAAGAGTCATTGTAGCTTCTTCTGTTTCCCATTGCCCACTCTTGCCAAAATAAGTAGAGGACTCGACTCATCAGAAGTCTAGGGGATGATGTTAAAATAAAGCCAGGGGTTACAAGGGTGGGCAGAGAATAATTTTTTTAGCAAGAACAGATTCTTGAACCTCCTAATGGGATGCTCTCAGGACATAAGGAAGCACTTTTGCAGCTTGCTGGCCTAGAGGAAGGGACATTGGACGGGAAGAAATTGGTGACTCAGTGACAGAACATCTCTTAACACTATTTTCCAGGCTAACCTTTGCGATGAGTTGCATGATTTCAGGAAAAAAGAGAAAAAAAAAAAAACTAGTAGCTTCGAATCCCATCCTCTCCACTAACAGATTTCTTAACCAGAAGACATCTTTCATTGTGCTATTAGAAATAAGATACAAAAAGAAACTATCCAATATGGAGATGAGCACGGACTGATGCTTATCACACTAATGTGCCCATTACAGATATCAGAATCCAAGAAAATAAAGAGCAGAGCCTTTGAAAACTAAAAAGCAAGAAAACATCTGTGTTTTTCCTATAGGTAATTCAACTTCCTACCCATGTGTATGTATCTGGATAATTTAAAGGGATTTTTTTTTTTTTGCACAGATAAAATGAATAAGATTTTGTGGATAAACTTTGAATATCCATTGGCTTCAAACCATCCAAATGTCTGACTGAAAAATGTGTGTCATTCCCTTGAATTGCATTCAACAGAAGCTGCCTGCCAAGTCTGTAATCCAGTCTCCAGGTCTTGGAGCTCAAGCCAGCCCTGGTACAGTATGCACAGCTCCCTGCACTGTAACCCCAGACCCAGGGATAAATAATTGAGTGAGATCTATTTAATGGCAATAATACCTGGCCTCATAATTCATTTATCAATCCCTTGTGTTGGTAATTAGAATAATAAGGTTTCATGGGCTTTCAAGAATGCTTTCACAGTTAGTTGAAGGAGCACACTTTGGCCTAACTTACAAAATAGATAATTTACCCACAACACATGATACAGCCCTGGTCACACAGGGGAGTCAGGACATGCTATGCTGTCTTTGACACATCTCAACCCAGGAAACATGTTCCCTCTTTGGGTTAGGTTAAGTTGACTCTTCTTTCCTCTTGTTTTCAGTTGGATGGTATGATTAGGCAACCAATGTATTGCTCGAGTAAAGGAAAGACATTTCAAAATGGGTCTTTAAGGCAACTGTGATCAAGACTTGTGCTCATGAACACTTCCCAGTAAAAGGGGTCAGAAGAATGAGAAGTCTTTTCTTAGTAAACACTGTTGTTTTAAAAAAAAAAAACAAAAAACGACCAATTTAAATGGACTCCAAGTCAGAACTCTGACTTTTCCTAAAATG